ACCATTATTGTAATATATCAAAAATATTAAACCTGGCCGCCCTGCATCAGCTTTTTATGTTTTGGAGCACGCTACCATTATTATAATCTAACACCTGCAGCATGACATCACGAATTTTGGAGAAGCCTATCAGATGTCGTTATTTTAACACAGTGTGTTTATGTTCATTTACCGTTTTATGATTTTAAAATATAATATAAAATAGTGTATGAAACAAAGTGTCAAACTTTATTAAAGATGTACTATGTAAGAATTAGATGGAGATCTGGTCATACTTGCAGTAGTAGTTCAAATCATAAATAATGAAAGATGTAGCGTAGACGGTTATGATCGTAGCAACGGTACGGGTCAATCGAGACTAAGTTTTGCTTGATTTCTCACTTTGTGGTTAAATTATTACATCTCGCGGGATTTCCAATCCCTTAAAATCTCTACAATCCGATTGACTAAAAAGTTGATCATAGGCTTGTCACGTGTCTTTGAAGTCAAAATAGAGGGACGATATGCACCTCTTACATAGTGTATCGTTAAGACTATTTAGGTCGATTTCTTTATATTGACGAATTTAAACTTGAGGTTTAAATGGCAGGTTCCTCCTAACTTACATATTGTTTGATATCGAAGTCGTATGCGGGTTATAATTTCAACTTACAACCAGATTAAATACGCTCTAAGCGATTAGTTGTGTCATACAAATTTCATCTATTTTCTTCCCATTTTTATCTCAGACCAAAAATGTTAAAAATGTATAATGGCTGCTGTAAATCTATATCGTGCATCTGCCATTCCTCCACCGCTAACTTCCAACGTTCTTACTCGCATTGATTTGCTGGTAGACTAATCTGTTTAAAAATTGTATTAATTTTACATGCTAATAAAAATAGTTATATATTAAGCTTCAAAATATAATTTCCTTTGTGAAAATATGATTTAGCCCTTCATTTACGGTAGATTTCCTTTGTGAAAATATGATTTAGCCCTTCATTTACGGTAGATTTAGGTATGCAGCATTGTGTGACTTTCGATTCTATTGTTATCCCCCCTTTGTCGAAAACCTTGTGAACGAGATTGAGACAATTTTTCGAAATTTTAGCCCCCTTGTCCTCAAGGGGAGGGGACAAGGTTTGGAAAAAAGTTACATAGAGATAGAATAGAGGGTTGAAAATAGATTATTCTGACTCCAAACGTATTCTTGTGAATTCGGGCTAACATACCCTGTCCTACGGAAAAGGGCAAAGAATTGTGCTAAAGACCCACTAGGGGGATTAGGTCGAGTAGGGTTCGGATCAGACACTTAGCTATCCTCCATTCAAGTTTTGCCGGCGAACTTTATTAAAATAAGAATAGGTTCGTACCTATTGTTGGTGGGCATCTGCTCACGGACCACCTAGGGCCTGAGTTCTGGGCTTTTTTAAGGGGTACCAAAATGCCAAAATCGACTTTTTTCGCACTGTTCTCAGGTGGATTATTGCTACGCTCGGCCCCTGCCAGAGAGGCGATTGGCACTACATTTTCAGGGCAGGTACCTCAGCCAATCGCCTCTCGCTCAGCCCATAGGGACTGAGTACCAACCCTTTTTCAGAGCGAAATTAGGTCAAAAATCGAAACACGTGTGCATGCTCACAGCATCCGTACTTTCGTACTAGGTACCTGCCCTAGGAAACCCCGCAGGATTCCATAACACCGTGGCCATTTTCCCGACGTTACCAAAATATTTTTTTCTCAAAATTCGTAGAATTCTCCGATTTTGATTTTGAGACCAGATTCGGACGCACAATGGTCGAAAATGGGTGGTAGCTGAAAAAGAGTTTAGACTATGTGGTCACTTGTATTAACGCCCAGTTAAGAGTCCTTCCGGATGGACAAATGGCACCAAATTTTTAGGGCAGGTCCCTCACCCCCGCAACCGCCATTCAGCCAAATGTGGAAACCTTTGGGCCCACAGGCTGAGTACGGACCCTTTATCAGTTCGAAATCGGTCAAAAATTGAAATGCGCACGTGTACCACATCCATACTGTCGTGGGTATCACCGTGAAACCATATGATCCCGGTGTGACAGTTTGAATTGACTCCCGGTGTGTGTTTGCTCCTGGGCACTTGCGCATGTCCGAAACTGTTGTTAGCGTTAACAACGAAACTATATATACTTCCGGTGATGTGAGATGGTTCCTGATCAGTGATCAGTTCAGGAAAAAGTTATTTAGTTAGAGTTTTGTCGTTAATAAACAGACTTGTTATCATGATTAGCTGTTGTTTTAGTGATCGGTACTTACACGATCAACGGATCTAAGTTGATTGGCTTGAAATTGATACTTCTATCGTTCGTGATTTGTTGCTGTTGTTATTTTTTAGTGATTAGTCGTTACACTTTGATGTTTTAACTATGTTTTAATAATTAACTATTTTATAGATTGAATATTGGCCTTTATATGGTTGGGATTTCTCTGTATCATTGTTATTTTAATTTTCTACTTCTTATTGAACTAAACAATAAAACCCATCTGTTTATTACTCATATTAGGGGTTTCAGGTCACGTGCCTAGCGTGAAATTCTCTACAAATATATCAATTATTACAGCCGTAAAAAATCTATTGTTGACGATTTTGAATAGCAGTAAAATTTAGCTTCTTGGTTATTACAGCAGCTTTAGTAATTACGTTTGTTTTATTTTTTAAATTGCTTTATCATTAACTGTACCGTTAAGAGCGGCATCTTTTGGTTCAGTACAAATACTATCTCTGAATCACTGTCTTTAGCAGGAACATGATACTAGCAGTAGTTTCATTTTACTTTTACAAGTTTCTTAAAACAATTGTTGAGTTGTCTAAAGTGCTTATTTCTAAATTCAATTTCTTGTTCTAGCTTTCTGTTATGTTTCGTAAAAAAGTAGTCTTGATTATCCCGACCTGTCAATCAGACGTAGAATGGTCGATAGACTGGTTAAGCGAGACTAATTTCAAAACAAGGGCACGTAACCTATCTTTTACTCAAAAGTGTCTGGATGTTATGGACGCACATTCTATCAGCATTTCAATGTACTACGACCACAGGAATGATGCCTCTATAGTCTAAAAACACCGTTGTCGGTAAAAAAAAAAACAAACCCGGCCTTCTTTACGGGTTGCGCTATGACGGCGGTCATCTTTGAAAATCGACCTAAATCAAAATAACTACATGGTAATATACCATTATTCTGCGAACGTCTTATGGTCTCGCCACCGTTACCGTTGGTCGTAGAAGCTTGAAAATCGGAGTGAATACGTATACTAGCATCTTAAAGTACATAATGCCTGCAGTCCTTTTTGATTCCGATCATAAGAAAAGGATTTATGGGCAGAGCTGTATGTGGTTAAACCCCATTTGATTTCATTGTTGTTAATGGATCTTTTTCATATTTGGCTTGAAGTATTGGTCATCGAACCCTGTCAATATTCCTAATCCACAGCCTTCTGTTCCTGAGTTATCCCCTCTTTGCCGAAAACCGTATGAAAGCGATAAAGGCTATAGGTTTTAACAGATTTTTTTGTCCCCCGCCTTCCGAAGAAAGAGGACTATTAAAATGGGTTCGTCCGTCGGTCTGTCTGTCCGTTATACTTTTTGGGACACATTAACCCTCTTTATAATTAAGCTAGAATGTTCAAACTTGGTTTAGGTGTTTATTAGGTGAATGCCTTGATGTTGTTCGAAGATGAGAATTTTCTGCTTAGGGTAAGCAGAGATAGGCAATTTGATTTGTTAATTCTTTGGGACACGATAAAGTTCTAATTAAGTGAGAGTGATGAAACTTTGGGTATACTTTCATAACATCAATTCCTTGACTAAGTTCGATAATGAGTATTTTCTGCTCAGGGTAAGCAGAACGATAAGCAATTTGATTGGTCGAGATTTTGGAACACAACAACTCTCATTCTAATTGAGTTGGAATATTCACACTTGACGTAGCTGTCTATTAGGTGAATGCTTTGATGGAGTTGGAAGATGAGAATTTTCTGCTTACCGTAAGCAGAGATAAGCAATTTGATTGGATGATGCTTTGGGACACGATAACTTTAAATCTAATAAAGTGAGAGTGAGGACACTTAGTGTATAGCTTTATTACATCAATACCTTGAATAAGTTCGATAATGAAAATATTCTGCTGGGGGTAAGCAGAGCGATAAACAATTTGATTGGGCGAGACTTTGGGACACAATAACTCTCCTTATGGAGGTAGAATGTTCAAAATTGTTGTAGGCGTTCATTAGGTGAATGCCTTGGAGTTCGATGATTAACATTGTCTGCTAACGGTAAGCAGAGATAAGCAATCTGATTGTTTGATGCTTTGGGACACGATAACTTTGGTTATAATGAAGTGAGAGCGATGAAACTCAGAATATAGATTCATTATATCATTACCTTGACTAAGTTCAATGGTGAGAATTTTCTGCTTGCGCTAAGGAGCGATAAGCAATTTTATTGGTCAAGACTTTGGAACATAACAAGTCTGCTTTCAATTGAGGTAGATTGGTTAAACTTGATGTAGATGTTCATTAGGTGAATGTCTTGACGTGAAGCTAAGTAGAACTAATCAATTTCATAGGTCAATGCTTTGGGACAAGATAATCTTGATTCTATCTGGTAAAGAGGGATGAAACTTAGTGTGCAGTTTGATTGCTTGATACTTTTGAAAAAAATAAATGTGCGATTAATTAATATGTGTCATCTATTTATTTTTGGATTTCGGCGGGGGACATCAGAGAGGCTTGTTTATTTTTTCAATTTTCGATCCTTTTCAAATTTGTTCAACATCCAAGTTTTCCTTTCAGATCAGCTGCAGTTGAGACACAGATACTGTGTGGGCGTATTCAGTACTGAACAGAAGTGATTCCAATAGCGCTAAAATAACCTGATCAGCTGCAGTTGAGACACAGATACTGTGTGGGCGTATTCAGTACTGAACAGAAGTGATTCCAATAGCGCTAAAATGACGCATCGAGACTTTAAGTGAATAAATGAAAATTACAGTAAGAATTGTTTATTTAGGTTATTGGTCAGTTTCTAGAATGGATTTAGTTTTGTTATTTAAATGAATTTAGATTAATTTGGATATAGTTATTACATTGATGGCTATAACACGACTTATTCTTGATGTCTCAAAATGTATACATCTCTTGATGTCTTGGCTTTATACATCTGAAAATAGACAAATAAAGACAAGTAGGTAAATATATAGAAATATTTAGATACAGCAATGTGTTCTTGCAAATGCGTGTTTTAAATGACAAATAGAAACTATTCCAGTAGTTATTATCTACATACAAATATATACAAGTAGTCTATTATTTATTTACTAGTCTATATCAGTGGTTACCTGTATAAACATATAATACAACAGTTCATACCTGTGTAGGTAATGCTCAGGTTAAAACCAAGGCATGTAAAGAGGGAATCTGTTTCGAATCTCACGGTGGTGTTTTCACCAGTTGGTACTATGATAGGGTCTGGCGGTGTCCCACCACAATATCTATAATATAAAAAATAAACCACTTCAGTTATTTGTATCAATGACGTTGAAAAGAACTTTTTTCGTCGGCAAATAAAGTGCCCGAAATCACACTACGTTTTGGTTTGAATCAATTGTGCATTATGCGATTGTTTTCCGGCATCGAGCATTATTTGTTTCATTTAAGATCAGATTCTGTTCGGGAAGACGGGAATTTTTCAATTTTTTTCTTTTTATCTTCTAGTCATCAAATTTAAGAGTTTGAAATCTCATGACTATTTCATCTGGAAGCAATCTGTATTATGTCACAATTTTAGGGCATCGATCATTATTTGTGTCATAAGGTTTTTGGGAATAAAATGTTTAGAAATTAACTAAACCAGTGAGAATTAGTGTAATAAACAGTGTAGTCGCTCAGCTCAAAGCGCGACATGTTTCGGGCATCATCATTTATTTCATTAGAGAATTTTTTGATGCCATTTCCAGATGGATTATATTGGACCACTTTCAGGATGTCGTACTCACTTGCTAAAATTCATAAATTCCGTGGGGGAGATGCCCCCCCCCCCCAACCAACACCCCCCCCCCCAACCAACACACATATCCCTGGGCTAATTACCAGCTCCCATGAACTTGAGCGGAAAGGTGTCGGCCACTTTATTTCTACCCATCTCCCAACAAACACGGAATTCGGATGGTCGTCGTTGGATTTCGGTTCTAAAGCTAGACAAATAACGCTATCACTAATTTCTTGTTGCTTTACTCACTGGCTGGTATTGCAGTCAGGCGCTTTTGCTTTGCTATTTGTTTTGGGGTTTACTTATTTACCCGGTGGATGTAACTAGAAAATATGGGGTTCTTATTGATAAGATAGATGGGATTACCTTACTCCCTGAAGCGTTAGATAATCAAGATCACAAGATGTAGATAGTCCGCCCTGGCATGTATTAAACCCTGTAGACACAACAGGAATGAACTCAATGCTATATTGTCCGCCAAGAGTTAAGGTGATATTCTGTTCAGGTCGGCCAATTATAAGATAGCAATTGGCGAAGTTGTTTGGATATTCAAGTGGATAATTCGGTGATGTTATAACTGAAATTATAAACAAAAAGTGATGGTTATAGTTTTAATTACATTTATAACAACATGGTCACTGCATCATACACGCCACATAGTGTCACTACTTCTAAACAAAATTTACGTGCTTCTAAAACAGTCCGGGGACTTGAAATTAAATATACTTACTTTCATCATTTACAATATAAATACATCTACGTGCTTCTAAAACAGCCCAATGGGTTGACATTAAATATACTTACTTTCATCATTTACAATATTAGTACATCGACATTCAAATCCACCATCAACACGAAAACATATATCCCCGATCTCGGTACAAGGACTCGGGTCACATAAATCTTCTACAAAATAATAAATACACAGCTAAGTAAAAAGTAACTACCATCAAATGGCGATCAATCCCATTTAAAACAGTGTTTTATTTTAAAAGTCACGTGATCGTGATGAAATCGTGTAGCACTACCCGTCGGTCGAGAGAGGGGGAGAGAAATGGGGTTTAACGTACACTCGACACAAACTAGGTCATTTCGGGACTAACATATGGTTTAATTTTATTTCAAGAATTCGCTTGCGCGAAGGGGTCTTTAGCAGTGGGAGGAAACCGGAGGACCCACCCACGAGGCCCGTCGGTCGAATATGGAAAGCAAAACCGCGAAAAGCCTACCACATCCGATTAATTTAAAAATATTTTATTGTTCTAACTAACAAGTGGATAAGACACAAGTTTGACAACTTAGAACGCCATCTCCAATATATATATTTACATAAACAAATAATCATAATAGAACACATTATATTTGTAATCAAATCTTTTTTACATATCTGAGTACGAAGAAAAGAAAAGAAAGAAAAATAATAATAGCAATGTAAGTGTAGAAACTACATGTATGTGAAATATTTAATTTTATAATAATTTCAAATTACACTATCAAAACTATTTCTCTTTAATTGTGTTGTGAATCAAGACAGACCCTTACATTCCACGTGTACTTAGTGGATTATTCTTATAAGTGAACTCTATTCTCAGATAGAAGTTCCAGATATGTGGAGATGTGGAGATTAATTATATCATTTAATTTACAGAAGTTTTATGTAGTGTTTTGTCTGATTCGTGACTCAGATAACAAAGATGTGTGATCGTCCAACGAGCCTAGTAACTATCTTTAAACAAATAACTATAGGTAAATATATATCGCAAAAAATTCACACAAATGAGCATTATTTGATCTTGAAAAATGTCATTGAGAAAAGCGACCAGTATTTTTTATATACCTCTGAACATTAAAAAAAATATGCACGTTAGCTTCGCAGTTCAGTAAATCATTACCAAACAACAAAATATATATCAACATATAATAGTACATGTATATCATCAAATTGTATCAGCTATCATGACGTCTCTGTGAATTTTATATTTTGAACAAGATAATAAGAAATGGTTTGCGTTTTCAATATCATATCCACATGAACAAGCAGAATTATCAACTACATTTGCATGAAATAAATCGCCATTTAAGGCACTGCATTTATTACGCATCCTGCAGCGTAAAATGTTTAAATATAGATCACCACATGAAAAATAAGTTGGAACATTTGCGTTTTGAAAATATACCGCACATAGCTTATTTTTAAAAAGGGAAAATGTTGGTAATTGTCTCAATTGTAAATCCAAAGAGTTCCACAATTTAATAGTGGGCGGATTTTTTTTTTTTTGGGGGGATATGCAACCATCTGATTAGACTCTGAATCTGATCTTAGAGTTACGAAGATAATAATTGTTATTTTGTGATACCATATCTGGTACAAGGTCTGTAAAATATTGAGGTGTCTGCTCATTTACAATTTTATAGAATAATGACAATTTCCTAACAAGCCCCCTAGTTTCCCACCCCGACTCTTTATAAATGGATTCTAAACGAGCATAACTTGTTAAGCCCGTAACAATTCGACCTGCTTCGATTTGGAGCTTTTCTAAACGCTCGGAGTTGACTTTTCCATAATTGTCCCACACTTCAGATGAATATTCTAATATTGGCCTGATAAATGTTAAGTACATTTTTTCCAAGTATTCCCTCTTTAATTTATATTTTAGTTTTCTTAAAATGCTTAACTGTTTCGGGGCATTGCCAATCAATTTATCAATATGATTAGTTAATTTACAGTCGCTACTGAAGATAATTCCTAAATGTTTATTGACAGGTTTTAGTGTCAGATTGATTTTAACCAGCCACTTTTTTGACCACTCATTTAAATATATTAAATCTAAATTAATTATATTTTTTAAAGTGCTGTAATTAGTATCGTCTGCAAAACGTCTACCTAATCCTACTGTACCGTCGGTAATGTCATTGATAAATATAAGAACCAGCGGCTGCCAGGCAGGATACGCCCACATTTTGCAAGAGATGGATAGAGAACAAGCTAAAAACAAACGGGATTTTTTGTACAATCAGGGGCAATAATCCAGAAAGTTATGGTCTGAAATGCGCAAATATCAAAAGGCACTGAGATCTTTGGGATATAAAGATATGTTTTAAGTTTCATCAGAATCGGATCAAAATTGTGACCTCTAGAGGGTCGACAACCATCGTATTGCATACTTTTACACAATTTGCATACAAATAGCGGCCATTTTGTTGGGCAGTTTCATTACGATTTTCCCGAAATTCGAATTCAGCCTTCATTATGGTGGAATGGTGAAATATTTAAACGGTTTTTAAAATCGGAAAAAAAATTGTGACCTCTAGAGAATCCGCAAGCTAAAAATGACATTTTTCGAACAATCAGGGGCCATAACCCAGGAAGGTTTCCGCGATTATCAAAAGGATCCAAGATCTTAGTGTGTAATGGTGATATATTCACACATTGTTTTTAATTAGATGAAAATTGTGACCTCTACAGGGACCACAAGCTAAAAACGTGATTTTTTGTTCAATCAAGGGCCATAATTCAGGAAGTGACGGTCCGATATGCACGAATATCGAAAGGAACCGAGATCTTTGGGTTATAAACTTAATTTCCAAGTTTCATCAGAAATCAGAAGAAAATTGTGACCTCTAGAGGGTCCACAACCTTGATATACCATATTTTTTACGCTATTTGAGAACGAGGACGGCCATTTTGTCTGTCAGTTTTGGGCCATTTTTACGGAATTCGAACTCAGCCATCCTTAGTGTGTAACGGTGATATACTAAACCAGTTTTTAAATTGGATACAAATTTTGACCTCTATACTATAGGGTCCACAAGATAAAAACGCGATTTTTCTTACAATCAGGGGGTATAATTCAGGAAGTTACGGTCCGATATGCGCGAATATCGAATGGAACCAAGATCTGTGGGTTACAAACCTATTCTTTAAGTGGCATTTAGCGATCAGGGAACAAATTAACAGAACACAGTTTTTATGGGATACAATCACTAGTTTATTCTAAAAGCACGACGTTTCGACAAGTATCCTCTTATCGTTATCAAGCACAAATGACAATTTAGTAAACTTGTGGACAATATATATGAAATTAATAAGAAACCATCTGTATGGATTAAGAATAACAGTAATAGAAATAATCAAGGTGTAAAGGATATTTAACAATAACAACAAACATAACAAGGTAATTAGCTACTAATAAGCACTGATACTGCATGATTAGAGGGTTATTAACAGGTTGGGAGAGTCTATAATATCGAAAATTTATTAATGAGATGGGGTGGGGCGGGGATTTTAGTACAACCAAAGATAGCTTAATAGTTAAATTATGTTGTTCATCTTAATTACATCATCATATGCCCTGGGGATGTAGAGCCCTAAGTCCCTATTGAGTTCAGGTGAATGTCTTCTGATATTTATAGCTTCTAGGATCTTCCTGGTTTTCTTGTTCTGTTGGTTGGCGGTTAGTACCTGGTCCGCCATCTTGGTTCATTAGAGCCTTTGTTCAAATTCGATAGAATAAGTTGGATAACTATTTTCCTTGGTGTTCTTCAATTTGTTTACATCAAACAGATAACCACCCAATTACCTATACAGAATCTATTTACAACTGGTATAAATTGACACTGTTATTTATGTCTAAAACTCATTTTCCTCAACATTTGCACGAGCCAGATTTATCAAGCCTTCATACCCAAGTGAGGGCGTCACTTACAAGCACTGGTCCGGGTGAAATGGAATGACCTAGAAATTATCAGTGATGACTGTAAAAAGTAGGCTACTGGTGAGGATATGACATTACCAAGTAAGTATAGTGACATCCTACATTCTGATCGATGCCATAAAATTATTCATATCAATTCTGTATAGCATGTTAGTGAAATGGTCCGATAAGCAGCAGAGGAACAAGCTGAGTTCGGGAAAGGATATTCAGTGGTAATGAATTTGTATTACTAACTGTAAAACAGGTTGATTATATTATGTCTTATCGATTTCAGGTACGCCTTGTCCGAATTAATCAAACAAAGTTATGTTATACATTGTTTGAGCAAGATTACATGGACCTATGGTAACAATGTTATAAATTGTAATGTAACTAGTTAATTCAGGTGTAATGAGTTAATTTAGATGTAGTGAGTTTATTCAGATATAACGAGTTAACTCAGATGTAATTGGTGGATTCTTGTGTCAATCTAATCTAGTGTCAACCAAGAATGTATCCTGAGTCCTTTTCTTTTCCTAAAATGAGCTTGTTAATCAAAGCATGCTAAATTATTATGACAATAATGAATTTAAGTAACTTACTATCACAGTTTTCTCCTAAAAATCCTGTAGTACAATTACAGCTGTAACCGTTATCAACTGGTAAACATATACCGCCATTTTGACATGGGTTGGGTAGACACAGGTTCACTAGAATTAAAAAGGCACAAATCATATAAACATGTTGGTTGGTTTCTATATAAGGATTAATTCTCTCAATTTAATATTGTTATTATTGCTTATCAATACCTTTCCCCAAAATTCTAAAACCTGATCATCAACAAGCACGTGCCCTGATCGTCAACAAGCCCATTCCCTGATCCTATTTAACTTTCGGCGGCCTTGGTCAAATCGGCAGATGGTCTTAATAATTGGATTTAGATAACATGCGCAGTTCACAATCTAGTCCCGTTTACCTGCAGTGTTGATTGGGTTAGGTTCCGATTTTCTGTTCGACTTCCATCCATAATTTCATCATGAAGTGGATAATCGAGACTATGCTTTTTTTATCGTACCGAAATTAGTAATGATGATCGAGGCTAGGCCGAAAATTCAATAGCTAAAATTTCGGTTCAGAGTGGATCAATTTCACTGAAATTTTCAGTAATTTCCTTTTACATTATTTAGTTTTAAACTATTGTAGTAAGAACTGTCAGCTCTTTATCTAATATCCCAAAATGCATCTTTAATCCAAATAGTGGACGTATTACAATATTCCCCTTAATCACAACAGTGTATGGGTTGCAATTTCAATCTGTCCATTAATCACAACAGTCTATGAAAAATCATATAATGTTTTTCTTACAAATACAATTAATTACAACAACATATGTCTTACAATTCTTACAATTAATTACACCATCATATTGCTTACAATTACAATATTTCTATTAATTACAACAGCATATGGCTTACAGTTATAATATGTCTATTAATTACAACAGCGTATGGCTTACAATTACAATATTTCTATTAATTACAACAGCGTAAACCTAATAATGTATGGAATAGAATTACAATATGGACATTAATCATAATAGTGTATTAATTAAAATTACAATATTTGCCTTAATTACAACAGTGCACCAGTAACCCCAATTTCATTTCAACTCAATTCCGCATCATCCCGGGCAGTCGTTACAATAGAAATACCGACCAAGGTTTATGCGTATGTTACCCCCCCCCCCCAAAAAAAAGAGCGCATTCTGAAATCTGTGTCTAAATGGGTCGAATTGGCCAATATCCAAAATCGCCGCCAGTTTTTGCCGGGGTAGTTGAATCCATTTCCATACACAGTTTGGCGAGTTAATATTGGGGAATGATTCCAGTTGGCGGGAAATTCGAATTTTGCAAAATGATCATATTTTGGTGTCGAAATATACATTTTTGAGGTAGCCGATTCCAATAGAAATTAGGGGACTAAGGATTCTCGAGTCTGCCTCAGATCTTATACGATTGCATTCATCAAGCATCGTCAACAATTTAAATAATATATATGTGAGTTTGCCCCATTGCAATATGAACTACAATTACCCTAATAAATATATCAGATACGAAATTTCAATCACTACTACTTTTTTATAATTTACAATAGGCAGTTAGGTGAATTTTATCCACTCACTAAAGGGGAAACGGGAATTTTAAACTAACTCCCACTAACACCCTACCCACAAAAGTTCAAATACCAACACCTACTTTCGGATACCCAGTATTGACCTGTGATGGCCGAAGAAGGCCAATAATGGGTTATGGGGTGTCTCCTTCTGCAATCTTGCAAAGCTAATTACATAGGCTATCTAACTCAACACTACAGGATAAAAAAACTCCCCATCAATCAACACTTCTTCCTTTACACAGCAACCATTCACTTCAGGTAAGCAGTAAGCTACACAACTTCACCAGTTAAATAAACTCCAGACATCAGGAGTCAAAGATCAGAGAGGTGAATGCACATACATGTGTAGAGTGGTTCGTGCAAATAACAAAAATCCAATAATCGAGCTATATTTGGGGCTTATTTTAACAAATATGATAAGACTTACCATTAAAATCATCATTCATTAACAATTAAACTATTGCTAGGTTGGATATTTGTATGATTTGGCCATTTGAATGGGACTTTCTAATTATATGGAAAAGTTGATCGCCCAAGTAGCGTTACAGCGGTAGATTTTTTCATTAAAAAGAGTTATGTTTCTTGGTCACATCAAAGTTTCAAATTTTGCTCTGGAAAACGAATTCTTAATTTCCGCAGTCGGCTTTCTTCGTTTTTTTTCGTACGTACAATTAACGATTGAATTTAACATTTGTACGCGTGCGCAGCCCTTAGTTAGAGAGAGAGAGAGATGTCTGTATTTTGAGTTGATTTTTTTAACGTTTACATGCAATAGACTATAGTTAAAACTTTCTAATAAGGGGTGAATTTCGTGGTTTACAAACGCAGTATGTAGAGAGTGCTTACCGTACTCATATTGTAGATGTTAAATATTCTTTATGATAATCCTATTTTGTTTCAAATAATTATCACAAATATAAAAACATCCACATCAAAAACAGAGGAGCACACGACATGCGCAAAGAAAAAAAACCTTAAGCATTTTCAAATCGGTTCGGCAGCAGTGTTCCAAATGTCTAGCATTGCATCCGGAATTCCGTATAAGAATCTACTTAAAAGTCAAAAACGCGACTCCTACACATTGTGCTCTATGTGTTATAAATTAAAGAATAAACCGTAAATCAATTGAACCCATTTCAAGGTGGAACTGCATGCTTTTTGATATGATTGGGCTATTTGTGGCGCCAGATAATCCAAAAATAGAAGTCGATACGTGACAATGCGTCTCGAAAAATTCTTTGATCTGTTATATGACTGGAAAATTCTGTTATTAAAAACAACCGGCATGACAATGACTATATAATAAGTTGGGAGTTCTACAATAGGGATCTTTTAGTGAAATGTTAGAGAAATTTGAGTTTAAATAAATCCTTTGTGTTTAAATTACCACTTATGGTTGGTTGTGTCATTTTATATATCAATCTGGAAATTTCTGTTTTATAGCTATTGTTCTCGAAAGTAAGACGCACAATTTACGCATCGTGTCGCGTTTTCATATTTTTAATAATTATGAAGCAGTCAATGCGCGTCTTTTTGGTTATATTTCAGTTCTAGAAAAATGAGTTGTTGCTAGATTTATAATAACTGGAACGTTTTGTAATCACCATGTTAGAAATGGCAAATGCATAAAGATAATATATACTATTCAAAAAAAGTAGGGGATATTTGATTTTGGGGGCATAATACTAAAATATGCAAATGACTACGAAAAAAGTCACTATAGAACCTAACAGAAAAAACATTTCCAGTTACATGTGACGCCCAAACGCACCAATAGCTACCGCATGGAATGCAGGTGATGCTTGGGATCATCATGGGGGTCCAACCCAAGATTTGCACGACTCTGACTTTGAATGTTACAGTCATTGTGGCATTGAATTCCAGGGTGGAAACATCAGTTTAATTGTTTTAGTGACCAGAAAACAAATTTTGATATGCGTCGGCTTACCCAAAATGAAAGGTTACGTGCCCTTGGCATGCTACAGATCGGCACAACACAGGCGGTTGTGGCGCCGACGATGAATGTTTCTCAGTCTGTCATAAGCAGGCTATGGTCCAGATACCGTGATACACAATCTGTACAGAACAGACCACGCTCAGGTCGACCAAGGGCGACAACTCAAGCCCAGGATCGATTTATCCGTACCTTGGCCTTGAGAAATCGTGTCATCACAGCAAATCAGATCAGCGCTCGTCTTCAAACAGACACTGGTGTGAGAGTGAGTGGCCAGACGATTCGGAATCGACTGCATAGGGGTCACCTTCGCGCCCGACGTCCTCGCGTGATCCCTTGTTTGAGAGATCATCACATTCAGGCAAGACGTCGTTGGTGTAGGGATCGTCAACACTGGGATAATCGACGCTGGAGCAATGTGATGTTTTCAGATGAGTCAAGGTTCACTGTTGATTTTTTGGACAGACGTAGGAGGGTGTGGCGTCGTCGAAACGAGCGCTTCCAAGAAGTTAACGTCATCAGACATGATCGATTTGGGGGTGGTTCTGTTATGGTGTGGGGAGGCATCACTGTTGCTGGAAGAACGGCTTTACATGTTGTTGCAGGGCGTGTTACAGGCCAGTACTACCGGGACAACATCTTGGCAGTCCATGTTGTGCCGTTCGCACGACGTCATGGATGCCGTTTCATCTTCTAGGATGACAACGCAAGATGTCACAGGGCCAGGATCGTTACAGGTTACCTCCAACAACAGAACATCACCACATTACCTTGGCCAGCACTGAGTCCCGACCTCTCCCCCATCGAGCATGTCTGGGACATGCTTGGACAGAGGTTACGTCAACGTCAACAACGTCCTGCCAATGTCCAAGAACTTGCTGCTGCGTTGCAACAGGAATGGGACAATCTGGACCAAAATGACCTTAGACGTCTCATTAGGAGTATGCCACGTCGGATCAATGCTTGTTTGGCAAACAGAGGAGGATTTACCCGTTACTGACTTGGTTGTGATGCTGTGGTAACTTTGCTGTTTGACCCCGGGTATCATTTTACCCTTATAATGGTCAGTCTGTGCCTTACTTAGTCTAACGATCATTTGGAATAAATCGATGAATGTGAACTTCATTTCATTTTGTCATTTGTTTCTTCGTCAGTTTCATTAGGTGACTTTAATAACACTTAAAAATCAAATATCCCCTACTTTTTTTGAATAGTATACATGAATGGCATAGCCATAATGGCACATCCTCCTATTAAATTTGACACAAAACCGGAGGCCAATTTGCAGTGCCCTAAAATGATTAGAATCCGAGTCTTGTGACCAGTACCGTAATTTTATTTTAATCATGCACGTCTGGTTAATCGAAACTAGAGAAAATAATTTCGTTCAATTAATTTCCAGTCTCAAATTTGTTCTGCGTATTTAGAGCTAGCAACAATGTAACTTCTAAAGTAACTAAAGCGCCCACTAACAACAGAGTTTTACGGTTAAATAAAAGTAACTTTCACAGTCTTGCAGTGTCGGTATGTTGCCACGAGAGTGGATTTAAAAGCTAGAAAAAGGGCGAAACTACACGAGTTGACTCTGAACCGAGAACCGTTACAATATATACGTCATTGGTTACAATCAACTAACTTAGAAATTAAATCGCCGAGTTTTAGCCAAAATTTTAATCTAGTTCGTAACTACTTATTTTTAAAAGTCCAACGAGTAAAGAATAATTTTTTTACATGGCTTCATTGATAAATAAGTGAACGAATATTGTCACGTGAATGTCTATTTTGGGCGACTGTTTGCTGCTTACAGTGCACGAGCGAGCCCGTGAGAGCACTTTTCTCATAAACGAAGTTTTGATCCGCGTGACAACATGCTGTTAAAACAGGTCAGTTTATATAGTACAGATAAATGAGTCTGTGGGCCACTCTAACATGTGAGCTTTTCATACCCTATAACAACACACGCATGTGCACTCTGGGGTCATCAATACAGACCAGTCCATTCTTAGCTTAAGGGAGACTGGGCAAGTTTATAACAATATCTTTTTAGGTCTTGGGGTTTGAGTTAAAAACTTGTCTAATTTGTTTTGTTTATCTTTGTTTACCTGGTCCGCCATCTTGGTTCATTAGAGCCTTTGTTCAAATTCGATAGAATAAGTTGGATAACTATTTTCCTTGGTGTTCTTCAATTTGTTTACATCAAACAGATAACCACCCAATTACCTATACAGAATCTATTTACAACTGGTATAAATTGACACTGTTATTTATGTCTAAAACTCATTTTCCTCAACATTTGCACGAGCCAGATTTATCAAGCCTTCATACCCAAGGGCGCATAACTCATCTATCCGATTTGTGACAACCTTGATCGTCTAGGAATAGCTGGCGTGGATACTGTCTGTTGGGACTCAGTAGTCTTGGACTTCACGTTATTTCTGTAATTATGGCTACCGAAATCAGGCGAAACATGTAGACAATTAAATAATAGTAATTTCTTTAGGCATTTTAACCTTTATTTATTATATTATGCAAATATTTATATATAGGTTTTTATACCGAAGAAGATTATATAGTGTACAGACATAGTACCAGCTTACCATGACAAAAGGACCCTTCAAATCCAGGAGGACAGCTGCAACTCACGCCACCTTCTGATGGATAACACGTACCATCATTTAAACAGGGGTTGTTGAAATCACATAGGTTAACTAAAATTAAATTAAAAAAATGTAGACCTCACATATATTAGTAATAATGTATATTAGATACTGAGTGACCTAATTCCAATTGTTAATTATAGCATAATGTAATATGGATATGGGTCATTCCATGTCAAGGGGACCAAATTCTGAGAAAGCTGTAAAGTGACCTCCTCTGAAAATTTATAAAAAAAAACATATATGTTATAGTACACACAGTCTTATGTAAAACTATATGACTCTAGTATTAATATGGCCATTTGAATGGGATACCCTTTCGCAAGTTTTGAAACGACTGGTATATGGCTCGATTTTAGTGTTCTGATTTTATATACCCTAGATAGACAATATTCTTGAAATTAAGGGGTTTGTAAGAGAATGTTATATCGATTGTTTTTTGCACAAGTATCACATTTTGGCACTTAAGGTACTCCATACGCAGTTGATGGTACTTTTCCTGTAAACTGTGATTGTAAATTCTTAATCTACATAACATTTTCTTACAAACCCCATAATTTCAAGAACATAAACTGGCTAGAAGGAATAAAATCAGATCACAAAAATCGAATCATATCAATATTAATACTAGAGTCATATAACTTTACAGTTTTACATAAGACTCTATGTACTCTAACATATTTGTTTTCATAATTTTCTGAGGGGGTCACTTACAAGCACTGGGCCGGGTGAAATGGTCATATTAATACTAGAGTCATATAACTTTACAGTTTTACATAAGACTCTATGTACTATAACATATTTGTTTTCATAATTTTCTGAGGGGGTCACTTACAAGCACATGTCCAGGTGAAATGGAATGACCCATATTTCTTCGTGACCTAGAAATTATCAGTGGTGACTGTAAAAAGTAGGCTACTGGTGAGGATATGACATTACCAAGTAAGTATAGTGACATCCTACATTCTGATCCATGCCTTAAAATTATTCATATCAATTCTGTATAGCATGTTAGTGAAATGGTCCGATAAGCAGCAGAGGAACAAGCTGAGTTCGGGAAAGGATATTCAGTGGTAATGAATTTGTATTAGTAACTGTAAAACAGGTTGATTATATTCGGTCTTATCGATTTCAGGTACGCCTCTGTCAGAACTTATCAAACAAACGAGAGAGAGAGAGAAATGGGGTTTAACGTCCACTCGACACAAACTAGGTCATTTCGGGACTAACATATGGTTTAATTTTATTTCAATCATTCGCTTGCGCGTAGGGGTCTTTAGCAGTGGGAGGAAACCGGAGGGCCCGGAGAAAACCCACGAGGTTGGACAGGCGACTCTATTCCTTGTCACGTACCACCGGGGAATCGGAACCCCGAAGGTTGACTCAATGACAGACCGTATGATACAGCACGCGCGTGCTAACCATTCGGCCATCCAACCCCCCTTAATCAAACAAAGTTATGTGATACATTGTTTGAGCAAGATAACATGGACCTATTATAACAATTATAATGTAACTAGTTAATTCAGGTGTAATGAGTTAACTCAGATGTAATGAGTTTATTCAGATATAACGAGTTAACTCAGATGTAATGAGTGGATTCTCATGTCAATCTAATCTAGTGTCAACCAAGACTGCACCCTGAGTCCTTTTCTTTTCCTAAAATGAACTTGTCTGCTTGTTAATCAAAGCATGCTAAATTATTATGACAATAATGAATGTAAGTACCTTACCATCACAGTTTTCTCCTAAATATCCTGTAGGACAATTACAGCTGTAACCATTATCAACTGGTGAACAAGTACCACCATTTTTACACGGGTCGGGTAGACACAGATTCACTAGAATTAAAGATAGGTAGCCAGGCAAGAAAACATACGCCCACAGCAACTAAATCGTCCAGGCAGTCAACAAGGGTTGTCGCATATTTTTACTTTTTTCGGTAATGAAACATTTATAATACACTAAAATCTGATTAAGAGCAACAATTCACGACGTACAATCAGAAAACTATTAGAATTTGTTTGGTTTTTATAAAGTTCTGCCCCATGCTAACGTTTTGTATGCAAAGCTTTTAATATCATGGATTTAACTGTTCAAGTCATAAAAATTCATTGAAAATCAATATACTTGTTCGTCTCAAGATCTTAAACTCTGTATATCAATCTGAAGTCAATCGGATGATAACTTTAGCCTTTAGAGCGTCACAAGATTTTGCAAAGTGATCAAGGGCCATAACTTTGGCAGTAATTATCGGAAATCGTTAAAAATCAATAGGAATCTTCGTCTCATGACCTCAAACACTGTGTATAAATTTATACTCAATCGGATATTAACTTTAGCCTCTAGAGCATCCACAAATGAACTTGTCTGCTTGTTAATCAAAGCATGCTAAATTATTATGACAATAATGAATGTAAGTACCTTACCATCACAGTTTTCTCCTAAATATCCTGTAGGACAATTACAGCTGTAACCGTTATCAACTGGTGAACAAGTACCACCATTTTTACATGGGTCGGGTAGACACAGATTCACTAGAATTAAAGATAGGTTGCCAGGCAAGGAAACATACGCCCACAGCAACTAAATCGTCCAGGCAGTCAACAAGGGTTGTCGCATATTTTTACTTTTTTCGGTAATGAAACATTTATAATACACTAAAATCTGATAAAGAGCAACAATTCACGACGTACTTATCAGAAAACTATTAGAATTTGTTTGGTTTTTATAAAGTTCTGCCCCATGCTAACGTTTTGTATGCAAAGCTTTTAATATCATGGATTTAACTGTTCAAGTCATAAAAATTCATTGAAAATCAATATACTTGTTCGTCTCAAGATCTTAAACTCTGTATATCAATCTGAAGTCAATCGGATGATAACTTTAGCCTTTAGAGCGTCACAAGATTTTGCAAAGTGATCAAGGGCCATAACTTTGGCAGTAATTATCGGAAATCGTTAAAAATCAATAGGAATCTTCGTCTCATGACCTCAAACACTGTGTATAAATTTATACTCAATCGGATATTAACTTTAGCCTCTAGAGCATCCACAAATGAACTTGTCTGCTTGTTAATCAAAGCATGCTAAATTATTATGACAATAATGAATGTAAGTACCTTACCATCACAGTTTTCTCCTAAATATCCTGTAGGACAATTACAGCTGTAACCGTTATCAACTGGTGAACAAGTACCACCATTTTTACATGGGTCGGGTAGACACAGATTTACTAGAATTAAAGATAGGTTGCCAGGCAAGGAAACATACGCCCACAGCAACTAAATCGTCCAGGCAGTCAACAAGGGTTGTCGCATATTTTTACTTTTTTCGGTAATGAAACATTTATAATACACTAAAATCTGATTAAGAGCAACAATTCACGACGTACTTATCAGAAAACTATTAGAATTTGTTTGGTTTTTATAAAGTTCTGCCCCATGCTAACGTTTTGTATGCAAAGCTTTTAATATCATGGATTTAACTGTTCAAGTCATAAAAATTCATTGAAAATCAATATACTTGTTCGTCTCAAGATCTTAAACTCTGTATATCAATCTGAAGTCAATCGGATGATAACTTTAGCCTTTAGAGCGTCACAAGATTTTGCAAAGTGATCAAGGGCCATAACTTTGGCAGTAATTATCGGAAATCGTTAAAAATCAATAGGAATCTTCGTCTCATGACCTCAAACACTGTGTATAAATTTATACTCAATCGGATATTAACTTTAGCCTCTAGAGCATCCACAAATGAACTTGTCTGCTTGTTAATCAAAGCATGCTAAATTATTATGACAATAATGAATGTAAGTACCTTACCATCACAGTTTTCTCCTAAATATCCTGTAGGACAATTACAGCTGTAACCGTTATCAACTGGTGAACAAGTACCACCATTTTTACATGGGTCGGGTAGACACAGATTCACTAGAATTAAAGATAGGTTGCCAGGCAAGGAAACATACGCCCACAGCAACTAAATCGTCCAGGCAGTCAACAAGGGTTGTCGCATAATTTTACTTTTTTCGGTAATGAAACATTTATAATACACTAAAATCTGATTAAGAGCAACAATTCACGACGTACTTATCAGAAAACTATTAGAATTTGTTTGGTTTTTATAAAGTTCTGCCCCATGCTAACGTTTTGTATGCAAAGCTTTTAATATCATGGATTTAACTGTTCAAGTCATAAAAATTCATTGAAAATCAATATACTTGTTCGTCTCAAGATCTTAAACTCTGTATATCAATCTGAAGTCAATCGGATGATAACTTTAGCCTTTAGAGCGTCACAAGATTTTGCAAAGTGATCAAGGGCCATAACTTTGGCAGTAATTATCGGAAATCGTTAAAAATCAATAGGAATATCGTCTCATGACCTCAAACACTGTGTATACATTTATACTCAATCGGATATTAACTTTAGCCTCTAGAGCATCCACAAATTTTTTTGAAGTGATCAAGAGCCATATACAGTAATTATCGGAAATCGCTGAAAATCAATAGGATTCTTCCTCTCATGACCGTAAACACTGTGTATAAATTGAAAGTCAATCGGATGTTAACTCTGGCCTCTAGAGCGGCAAAATGATTTTTCATAGTGATCAAGGGCCATAACTCTGGCAGCAAATATTGGAAATCGCGGAAAATCCATAGGCTTCTTCGTCTCAAGACCTTAAACACTGTGTATAAATTTAAAGTCAATCAGATATTAACTTTAGCCTCTAGAGCGTCCACAGGCAATCGTGGACGCGGGACCGACGGACGGGGGCGACGACAATATACGACCACATTTCAATGTGGGCGTATAAAAAGGCACAAGTAATATAAACATGTTGGCCGGTTTCTCTATAAAGATTAATTCTCTAAATTTCTCAAGTTAATTTTTTGAGTAATAATATTCTTATTGCTTATCAATACTTTTCAACCAAATTCTTAAATCTGGTCATCAACAAGCACATGCCCTGATCGTCAACAACTGAACCTATTTAACACTCGGCGGCCTTGGTCAAATCGGCAGGTGGTCTTAATAATTGGATTTAGATAACATGCGCAGTTCACAATCTAGTCCCGTGCGTTTACCTGTAGTGTTTATTGGGTTAGTTTCCGATTTTATGTTCGACTTCCATTCATGGATAATCGAGACTATGTTTATTTTATCGTGCCGTCTTTAGTAATGATGATCGAGGCTAGGCCGACAATTCAATAGCTAAAGTTTCGGTTCAGAGTGGATCAATTTCACTGAAATTTTCAGTAAATTTCCTTTACATTATCTAGCTTTAAACTATTATAGTAAGAACTGCCAGCTATTTACCTAATACCCAAAATGTATCTTTAATCCAAATAGTGCATGTGTTATAATTACAATATTCCCCTTAATCACAACAGTGTCTTACAATTCTTACAATTAATTACACCATCATATTGCTTACAATTTCTAGTAATTACAACAGCATATGGATTACAATTACAATATTTCTATTAATTACAACAGCATATGGCTTACAATTACAATATTTCTATCAATTACAACAGCATATGGCTTATAATTACAATATTTCTATTAATTACTAAAGCGTATGTCTTACAATTAAAATACTACAGCGTATGGCTTACGATTAAAAAATTAACATTAAATAAAACTTTTACATTAAACCTAATAATGTATGGATTACAATTACAATATGAACAGTAATCATAATAATGTATTAATTAAAAATACAATATTTGCCTTAATTACAACAGTGCACCAGTAACCCCAATTTCATTTCAATTCATTTCAGTACAACTCAATTCCACATCATCCTGGGCAGTTGCTACAATAGAAATGTCGACCAAGGTTTATGTTTATGTTACCACCCCCACCCCTTCACGTGGCAAAGTGGGTAAGACGCTAGCTCGCTAGCCTGGCGGTCGGGTGTTCGATCCCTGCATTGGCCGAGAAAGTTCATCCAGATTTTCCGGCGTGGTTCTCCCTTGTCAGTGATGCAGGAAAGCTGTCTAGTCGTTCGGATGGTACGAAAAACCGAGGTCCCGTGTACACATTGGCGTGCACGTAAAAGATCCCTTGGCAGTTGGAATTCGATATAAGAGTAGGCCGTAGTGCCGCTGTCCGGGCAAAATTTCCCTCATAGCACACTGTATGGCGTATGCCCGTCTTCATTAGCCCAGGTTAGGAGCAGAACAGTAGGACGTTAAACTCCATTTCATTTCCAAAAGCGCATTCTTAAATCTGTGTCTAAATGGGTCGAATTGGCCAATATCCAAAATCGCCGCCAGTTTTTGCCAGAAAATGCAAATTTTTTTATCTAATTATTATAATGTGACCAAGTTTTGTATTAAAATATATCCTTTCGAGACAGCTGAATCCATTTCCATGCACATTTTGGTGATTAGTTATACAGCGGAGTAAATATTGGGGAATGATTCCAGATGGCGGGAAATTCGAATTTTACAAAATGATCACATTTTGGTGTCAAAATATACGTTTTTGAGGTAGCCGATACCAGTTTTGATAAAGGGTCAATCCCAATAGAAATTAGGGGACTAAGGATTCTCGAGTCTGCCTCAGATCTTATACGATTGCATTCATCAAGCATCAACTAAATTTCATTTAGATTCTCTGGCCTCACTCTCACCTCACAGTGGAAGCAGCGTAGCAGGCATGACGAAAGGGGCCACTCTCAGCTCTATATGGGTATAATACTATAGGGTTTATTTTAGTATTAAGAACGGTGTTCTGTTTAATATAGAAATTCTTCACCTAAATGATGTGTGACGAAAGCTAGGGTAGTGAAGTAGCTTGCATTATTTTACTACTATCTTAGACCAACTTACCGACAGTTATGTCAGTATCCATTGCTGGAAGTAGGGTACTATAGTCCAGTCATCTCGTGCACGGATTAGTACAAATAATTATTAGCGGTATTTTCTATCAACAAATTGAGCCATACAAATAATGTTCGGACCATCACGTGACAAATTGCAGATCTACAAATTAGATTATTTATTTGGAACATGATATTGTTCATAGTTATGGTTTACTATACTGGAGTTCTATAGTGAATAATAAACGCTTCCCAAGCGAAAAAAAACCATAACAATGTCACGTGACAATATTACGAATAAAAGCGTTCTTTGATTACATGCTGTTTGGTTTGAATATTAAATAACACGGCAATCTGTATTTATGGGGAAAAGAGAATGAATGTCCCCAATTCCAAAAATAGATGACTGGAATATTTATTGAATGGAAAGTGAATATTTTATAAACAAAATTCTTCGGATTTGTAGTTTTCTAGCTTGGGTGTATTTGTGATTTGAATCCATGTAACGAGGACAGTAAACAATTCGATGACGGTAAACTTTTATAGGGTATAGGCCCTATTTATATTAGCTTCTCGTCACATATCTGTATTATGATACTGCTTGTGAACTATACATATATCAGCCATCGCGTTTTCCATAACTTCATTTGGCATTTGCTAGGCAAAACTCGGTGTTTTATACATTTTACTATAAAATTGTAATAAATGTTTTACATCAATGAATAAAATAAAAAATAAAATCTACAAATTAAAACAGTACAATAACATTAGGATTTGACGCCCTACAAATCACTAAAAGTAAAACAATTGTTTGTTGAATAAGCGTTACTAATACGTTTTTTTTTCCAATGGGGAAAACCTCCTGGACTATGTTCTTCTGTTGTATTTAAGTTATTATTTTTTAAAAATAAATTCAAAAGAACGCGTCTTTACAAATTTCAATATAACCACAAATAAGTGATTATACTGATGCACACTGTCATACACGATGCTAAGATGGGTATTAATGGTTTATATTTGAAAATCATATTATACAATAGAAAAATATTAAAATATATCTTTAAACAACGCCCTTCTCAATTACTGCTTCGGGGAATATCATTTGATAATTTAGATGATCAGCATTAAACACCTCTGTGCCGTTATGCTATCAATTGACCTTTCCGTCAGAAACCTGTAGCTCCTCCCACTTTTTATAATGACGTCACCTTAGAAAACATTGACGCGCCTTTGACATTTACAAGCATGGCGATGGCTGAACGACGTTCAATCTTGTCACGTCTTATGCCAATCTTTTGGACTTTCCCGCTAATTTCTTGGAATATTTTTGAAAGAGAAGTGTATTGTTAGTTTGAAGTAAAGAAGCAGGGCCCCAGGTACTACAATGAATGATATTTTTCTGACGCCATCCTGTTTTAGGCGATTGACGGATCTTGAAGCATCAATCATTATATGACACAAGCCACGATAAGATGTAGAACTTTAGATGAAAAAGCAGTTAAATTTAAATTATTTTTTTCCAATTCTTTGGGGGTCAAAAACTTGTATTAATAATTCATCTTTCAAATTTTGTAATGAAAAAGAGAACTTATCGTTCTGTTTTTATGCAAATACATATTTTGCGGACCATGCGACCTTGTAATCGACGTCACATGTCCAATTAATATTTGCCCCAAATTTGCTAATAAATACCGGCCCAGTTGATTTGCAGTGTGATAATATCAAAATCTACATTTTTGAATGTAAAGATATGTCTTTGTGCCCTGTTACCCCAAGATGTTGGCAAGGATCTTTCCTGGACATCTGGTTTCAAAACAGTGTGAAATTTCCCAACTGATAACTCTTCTACACTCTTTCTTGGGCATGATTTCATTGTTATTCTTAGCCGATATGTTACAATATTTGATCAATGATTATTTTTTTATTAAATTTTACTGCTCTGTACTGTTTTGTCAATATTATACAAAATATTTGTAACGGAAGTGACTCCCTACTATGTAACGGACGTGACCTTTTGTAACGGACGTTACTGTTGACCCAATTAAAAGTGCTAGGTGTATCTGAGTACAATGTCGGTGTTTAACGCTCTTTTCCATTCTTAGTTTAAGGACATTTAAAAAGAAGGCAATTTATGTAATTTAATAAAGACTCGTAATTTTCTTTAGGTTATCTTAGCTTCTTTGTGTAACGTTAGTGATGTTTGACATTATGAATTTCGTCCACCATCACATCCGTTACACGTCAAACCGAAGGTCAAACTGTTATCAATCAAATTTGCGTGATTCTTTTATTTATTTCGATTACCAGAATGTGAGGAACGGCTCTTGATTTTGAGCGCAAAACAGACGGCTTTGGCATCTCCTCAGTTTTTGTCAAATTCTTGTTATAATATAACGGACGTGATTTGGGCATAACGGACGTGATTTTGACATTACGGACATGACGACAACAAAAGTTTGAGGACGGAATTTCCGTATCGTGTCCCCCATTCTTAATTACCCGCAAAATCGTGAGGTATACGAACAGTGTGTAGAACAAGGGAGCTCATAACTGCGGAGGAGCCATGGATTTAAAACGGGACGGGAAATATCGATCATCATAAACGCAAATAACGGGCGTGATTCTTTGACGGAATAGTTTCTTCTCAAACGTCTCTAGATCAACATAAATACTTACATCATATCACTCAAGTATGCCTCTTCATTTGTAACATAAACATACATATATAGATACAGGTGGTGAGCCACTCTTTCAATGCAATAAAAAACGTCTGTTACACGTGCCATTATTTAAACAATGGTTGCATATATCACAAGGATTTACTAAAATTAAATTAAAGAAATGTAGACCTCACGGTTCATTCCCACGAAGGCGCAGTTATTGACCGTAACGGATTAAAAGAGGTCATATTCGACGTGTTCGTGGGAATCCAGCTTTCATGGATTAAAATGAATTAAAAATGTAATAATGGAGTTATAGATTGTTATGATAAGAATTTACAATTTCATAATCCCCAATGTGACTAATTAACTAACATTTTAACATGTTTGGCATATGACGTTAATAAATATAAACAAATTTAATTTCCCCAAATAAGACACCCTGTCTTAATTCCTCTTCTTCGTGTCTACTTTTTAATTCCTGGAGTTGGCTTTAGATTTGGGCATATTTATATCTCTTCCTTGGTGGTTTCTGTTCCCCGACATACTGTACGATTCTAATTTAATTAATATTTTGCTCTTGTAAAATGAGATCATATCAAAAACATTTCGGATGAACTTTAACAACTAGCTTCTTGATCCTTGAATGCCATTCTTCCAGGGTGTTGTTGATTTTGTGTTCCCCTGTGTGGTAGTGGTTCCACTGATGAGGAGCATGTTCATCCTCCCCCTTTGGTTGTTTACGTAGTCGGCCAATTCAGTTATTTTTGGATCTGATTGAGAGTGGGCGAATATGTGAACAATACTTGAATGATCTGATGATTTTCATCATTAGTTGCCAATTGGTGAGTAAAATTCAGAGTGAACACTACTTGGATGATGTTATGATATTCATCATTAGTTGCCAAATGGTGAATAAAATTCAGAGTGAACATAAATTCATTAAATCTCTAACACCGTTAATTGGGTCCTAATAACAACATGCCTTTCTTCAAACGAAAGCCGATAAGTCCATATCCGTGCCTTCGTGGGAAGTCCATATCTGCGCCTTCGTGGGAAGGATTAATTTTGGTCACGCTCTGTAACGGCGCCGTAGTGGTAATACACTGACCTCACACACGTTAGTAATCATGTATGTGAGACAGTGAGTTATCATAATTCCAAATGTTAAGTATGGCATAATGTAATATGGATATTTCTTAACGGGTTAGAAATTATCAGAGATTTAAGTAAAATAATGAATGCAACAAGTACTGGTGATGATATGATACCCATTGAGATTTATAAATTCGCGGCATGATATCTAATTCAATTTCCTGAATCCTGATCTTTTTGCGTTAAAGAAGGGGCAGCTCAAGCTGAGTCCAGTAAAGTAACAGTGAATGTGAACCGGACCGCCTCGTCTTGTGTAAATATGTACTAGTAACTGTAATTATATATGAGTTTTATCGATTTCATGTGCGCCTCTGTGGGAATTAATCGATACATTGTTAGAGCATTATCACATGGCCACATGAAAACAATGTTTTATTCAGATGTAATAGATAAATTCTTATGTTAATCTGGTGTCGAACAAGACTGCATCTTAATTTAAAGATTTAATTCAGATGTAATGGGCGAATTCTTACGTTAATCTGGCGTCAAATAAGGCTACACCCCGAGTCCTTTCGGGCTTGATTTGTTCATAATGAGCTTGTTGGCTGGTCAATTATGGCTGACTAAATTATTATGACAATAAAGAATGTACTTAACTTACCGTCACAGTTTTTTCCTAAATATCCTATAGCACAATTACAGCTGTAACTGTTATCAACTGGTGAACACGTTCCATTATTCTTACATGGGTTAGGTAGACACACATTCACTGCAATTAAATATGCTCACTATTTCCCTATACTTAATTTTTGGAGTAATAATATTTTGATTTTGCTTGTAAATACCGAATCGGTCTGAGCAACCATAATGATAAACAAAATCACGTGGTTTAGCTACTCGTGCATATTCGAAAGCAAATTACAACGATGACAGGCGAGTTTGCAATCCAGGATCCTTTACCGAAATGGTTCCATGTATATCTGTAAATGCAATCAATTTAAACCCATTTTCTCCCCCTCTCTCGGGGAAATTATTGATACGATATACAATATATCTTTCCATCACAGTTTTCTCCTAAATACCCAGGAGTACAACTACAGCTGTAACCGTTATCAACCGTTGAGCACGTACCATTATTTTTACATGGATTTGGGGTACACCGTTACACATTAATTACTTGGTAAATGTTATAAAGGAATGGAACAAACTTTTCAACTGGCACCGTAGTAAACATATTTGTCTACCACAATGCAGTTCATTTTGAAATAGGTTAATAAATAGAAAAGTGTTCTTTAATCTTTGCACCCACTAAAGAATATCATTGCCGGAGTGCGAGAATGGTTAATCAAACATGTTACGTTTTTCTCGTCATGTCCCAAGGGCACAAGTTTGTCCGAGGTCTCAGAGCTACCCAGTCCGCCCCTACAAACAATGGACGTCTCTTAGGATTTGTCTTTAATTTGATAAAGCCTGGTAGACGTTATATTATATAGGTCGACAGTCCACCTAACAGGTACTTGAAGAGATTAACATTTCTTACATTATCTTGTCTAGCATACTACAATATCGAGGGTTTAGAACATAATTGTGATAAGTCACAATGCCTGATATATTGACTTATCACAATTATGTTCTATACCCTCGATATATACAAAGTATATCACGCGCTAGAGTGCCGCGCTTCGACCTCTAGCTGGCCGGTTACCTCTAGCTTGCGGTTGTGGTTTCGATCCCTGGTGTGAGCGTATGTGCCTTGGAAATAGGGACGCCTTCTCAACCTCGTGTGTTTACTCCTAGACTAGTCAAATTTTCGTTAAATCAGAATGTTAGAAGCATTTCTTAGTAAAAGTGGGGAACATCACTTTTCTTAATGATTTTGATGTGCTGAATACGTCTATCCATGTTCCCAAGCCGAAATTTTAGTTTTTGACCTTCTAATTAACATAAATACAAAATGGCCGCCAAATGCTGTTAGATTGTCAGCTATCTCGTTAACTATCGACTTTTGGGCCTATAAATGTATTACAGACATATAGGAAGTCGACCCCAATAAATCCAAAAATGATGTCATTATGCCCCTGTGACGTCATACCCAAGATGGCAGCCATATTGATCAAAATTGTGTCTTGATGTCCTTTTCCTTTTGGTTATTTGTGGATGTCTACCAATGTAGTATTCGTTTCTATCTGACAACGGGTGTTGATAAAGGGCATTTATATAGATGACGTCACAGTCGTATGGCGTCATTGTCTCGTAGTAGTTGTCTTTCTTATCGCGTGTTCACCGGATATAGTACTTGACTGCATAAAATTTGCCAAATGTTTTTATTGTATAATTGTGACCACATCTCCAGCTTTACCTGAGCAATAAGGCTCCTTCCCAAACACAGAATTAAACCCGGGAAATGTTCTCAAAAAGACAACCTGACTTCTGAGATGGCAATGTGTTCTCCATGATTTTCATGTAACTCATGCTGCACGTGCTTTTCACCGGGACCAGCCCTATAAAATTCAGCCCCCATACCTGGTTGAAACATTCACACTACAACGTCATCAGCATGCCACAACTCACGACAGCCCAGAGAAACCAGGCGCATTGAAGAGTCGACGCTGGCCACACTGCCCAAGCCGTTGCCAATCACTTCCAGGTCAGTGTTCGAACCATCTACAGGCTTCAGCAACGCTTTCGGGCCCCCCCAACACCACGGATGATCTCCCCCCGACCAGGTAGACCAAGAGTTACCAAATGGCGATAAGACCGCCATGTTGTGCGACAGCACGTGCAGCATCCCTTCACACAGGCATCTGAGACAGCACGTCAGACAGTAGGAACACACGGAAGACCCATCAGTACCGATACAGTGCGCCGACGTCTCACCAGAGAGAACATCCACTGCCGTAGACCTCACCGTGGACACATCTTCACCCCTCGCCATCGACGTGAACGTCTAGAGTTTGCCCAACAACACCAGAACTGGTGAGCCACGCAATGGAGAACTGTCAGATGACAGGACCAGAATATGGCGTCGAAGTGGCCAGCGTTGCTCTGACCAATGTGTCATGGAACGTGACTCATGGGGTGGTCCAAGCATAATGGATTGGGGTGGAATCGGCCTGTACTAGAAAGTGTATCCTAGGATGTTCCAAAATCTTGGTCCAGGGAGAGGAGGCGGCATCACAGCAGTGTGCTACATCGATCAAGCTCTCAGACCCCACGTCATACCACATTTGGCACGTCATCGCGAGACAACGTTTTCCAGCATGACAACGCCTGTGCCCACACGTTTTACAGCAGAACGACGTCAACGTTATGCACTGGTCAGCCCTTAGTCCGGACTTAAACTGTTTTAGGCGATTGACGGATCTTGAAGCATCAATCATTATATGACACAAGCCACAATAAGATGTAGAACTTTAGATGAAAAGGCAGTTAAATTTAAATTATTTTTTTCCAATTCTTTGGGGGTCAAAAACTTGTATTAATAATTCATCTTTCAAATTTTGTAATGAAAAAGAGAACTTATCGTTCTGTTTTTATGCAAATACATATTTTGCGGACCATGCGACCTTGTAATCGACGTCACATGTCCAATTAATATTTGCCCCAAATTTGCTAATAAATACCGGCCCAGTTGATTTGCAGTGTGATAATATCAAAATCTACATTTTTGAATGTAAAGATATGTCTTTGTGCCCTGTTACCCCAAGATATTGGCAAAGATCTTTCCTGGACATCTGGTTTCAAAACAGTGTGAAATTTCCCAACTGATAACTCTTCTACACTCTTTCTTGGGCATGATTTCATTGTTATTCTTAGCCGATATGTTACAATATTTGATCAATGATTATTTTTTTATTAAATTTTACTGCTCTGTACTGTTTTGTCAATATTATACAAAATATTTGTAACGGAAGTGACTCCCTACTATGTAACGGACGTTACTATTGACCCAATTAAAAGTGCTAGGTGTATCTGAGTACAATGCAGCAAAACCTACTTTGAAATATATTCAAAAAGAATGCGTCCTTTACAGATTTCAATATAACCACAAATGGTTGATTGTTTTAATGCTTAGATAAGTATTAATGGTTTGTATTTGAACATCAAATTATATAAGCGAAAAATAGTAAGATACATTATGTACATCTTAAAACACGCCCTTCTCACTTACTACTTCGGCGAATATCATTTGATAATTTAGATGATCAGAATTAAACACCGTTTTGCTATGTTATTATTTTTTTATGATTTGGTGGGGGTATACTAAATTAGGGGATTGGATTGAAAGATTATAGCTACCATCCTATGGAGACATAATGTGTGGTAAGTGTTAATTTAACTAGATATCAGAAAAGTACCATGTTTTCATGAATTTTCTGACGACTAACGTACTGTTTAGATAAATTGTACAATATTTATCAGTTCACTAGTTACAATAAAATCATGCATTATAGCTATTTTTATTTATTTATCCCTGGTGCTTCAAATTCAATTCAGGGTGCCTCAACATATTTAAAAATATGTTTTAAAGCTTTAGGTCATTTTATTATATCTTTCTACCATAAATAATAGCCGGATTTAAGTATACCAAAAGTTAAAGAAGAAATATAACCAGTTTTTGAGTCATTCAGATATGACTGCCAAAATTGTCATAAGCACGCATGTTTTTAGGCTAAAGTCTAACCAGAAAACTTAGTGTCAATACATTATTAAATTTTATATTCCATTAATCAATTCCATTCCGCCATTGGTTTGTCTTAAACTCGTCATTTGTGTTCATGGGCATCAGGGTCGAGATGGCAACGTTATATGTTTTATTCCTCTAATTTACTATGAAACACCATTCGGTTCGCGTCACGGGTTAACGGCATATTAATAGCTTTATTCACTGAGATGGTTCCTTTACTTGTGGTTTATTTTTCGAATTGCTTTTTGTATTTATTTACAGAGGTTAAAAATTTAAATGGAAATATTTAAGCACCTTCTTGTTAAACCGTTGAAAGATTTAATGTTTGGATTAAGGTTAAGTGAATGTAGGTCAAACATGCCGTTTGACAGATGTGTATTAGGGTGTTCAAGATTAAAAGTTATTCCCTACAAGGTGGTTCTACGGTTCTTATCATACAATTCAGCTGTGAAATAACACAATTTCTTTCATTATGTGTACAACAATAAAACTATTTCAATTTCAAGTTGTCTAAACCAGAGTGTTGTGAGGTATGCATCTAAGTGTTTTGACGACCTGAAAAATATACTTAATTTTATTTAAACTTATTAGAATCTTAGGATGATTTAAACAAAGGCACAAGACCGGTTCCAGATTCAATAATACATATAGCAAGTATAACAAACCTTTAAACCTTGATACGTTCACTATTTCGGGCATTAAACTAATGGCTGATATTGTTTGTAGATAATACTACATCTTCAAAACATATTATCAATTTAATTCAAGCCTACTGTCCTAAACGCAGATATAGCACAATTATTAGATAATACGAATTAATTAAGTTAAGCATTCCCCAATCATGGGTGAGAGAAAATCAAACCAACTTGAATATAACAACAATGTCTTCCACCAACACGAGCCACGTGTTAGATGATGAATGAATTTGTCACAACAATTCAATTAAAATCTAAGTGTTGTTATGAAAAATGTCTCGGCTCTAAATTTGTAAAACTTATTTGTTTAAATTATTGGGAAAAGAATGGTTTCTTGTGTAATTTTCCTATCATATGGAAAACCATTTTTTGTATTTTTAGAAACCC